TTTAAAAGAGACCAGCTGTAAGACCAGTCCCTCTTTCCTAGGAGTGTCTTACCCAGAAAAGGGCTGCTGAGTGTTGCTCCGATCAGACTCTGCCAAGCCTGGAGCTTGTCACACATAAGACACACAAATGACTGCCATCCAGGAGCCTATCACACACTAAACAAAATGGGCTACATTCCTTGCATATTCCCACATGAGGACACATCCTGCAGCAGGGGAAGAGTGGGGATACTGGGAATCCACTGGGGATTGGCTAAGAATGACACTTCCTCTGCTGAGGGTCTTATCAGCTCCGTTTGTGTTTTTCTTCCTCTCCATCTTCTGTATCTTCATCCTTCCATTTATCCTTACCTCCCACTCTGTTTCCCTCTCTCCTCATCCCTCCCATCAGTTTTGTGAGCCTAGATTTGAAGTTTTGGTATAATATTTACTCTAGGGTGGTGCTTACAGAATAAAATGCAGCAATGCAGATGTCCAGACAAAATGACAAGTATGAGTACTTAAGCTGAAAGACACCCCCTCCCTATTGTTTGATGCAGGGCTGTTCTCAGCCAGCCCTCTATAAGATAATTTCCTATGTGTGTGTCTTAAGAGCATCAGACCACAGTCTCAGCAGAAAGGGAAGAGCATGCTAACAGTGGGAGCTGGTTGCAGTGAAGGGGTTGATGAGAGAGTGGAGGAGGAGGGAGGAGGTTAGAAAGGGTCTTCCTGCCTTATATGGGAATCTGTACAGCTCCACTTGTGGTGCAGTCTAGAAGCTGGAGTCTTTTCAGTGGAAAACACTCAAGCTTCAGCTGTCTGTGCAAAGTATTACAGGTCATGAGCTATCTATGCAGCAGCTCAACTTTTACTTCGCAGCACGATTATCCACAATTCAAATCAGTAATGTAGTTCGAAGGCAAAAACACAAACATTACACAGCTGTAGGAATAGATGTTAATAGGCTGAACTGAGTAGCACCAGGCTTGTTGTTGTAGACAGATATTGAGAGGTAGTGAAGTTGGAGGATGGAGATAAGGGTGATGGGGGAAACAGCTGGAGGGTTGAGAGAGAGACTCAGGTGGGCTAAGTCTAGGCCAGAGCGAAGCGCTGGCTCCCCTGAGGCCAGGAACACACACACAAATACATTTCACTGCATCTCATACTTCAGCTGTGTCTTGAATTTCTCCCCATCTTTCCCCCAGCCCCCTGCTTTGCAGATACTGCTCCAGCTCTCTTTAAGCTGCTTTCTTGTCTCTTCCTTCTCTAGAGCTGTGAAATAAACTCTTTACTGTAGCCACCTTGGATTCCAATCAGATATCCACACTGTACAGATATGCATACATGTGCACCCAGACACAAACCGCAGTGACATGTTTTAGTTAGCACAATGACAGATTTGCTTCCTACAGAGTGCTTTTCTCTCTCTATACCTGTCATGGATGCAGCTGCCAGAGGGGCCGATGGTACATGGCCAGAGCCAGCAATGACAGAAGGAACAGGGAACAGGGCAATAATGAAGCCACAGAAGAAACACAGAACTAAACACACGTACATGCACACTTCCTATTCCCATGACTAGCCCAGTCCATTCCTTTGGTTCTTTCCATTGAGAGCAGCTGGGTCCACGAACACTGCCTGGAGAATCTTGTGATTAATGACATGCTTGTCATGTCAAAACCCTCTTCATGTTTTTCCTGACGAGAGCTACTCTTCCTTGTCTCACCCCACCCCCACCCCCAACAGTCTGGCAGACACACTACCCAAATTCCCTTGGGGCCAGCTGTAGCACACACTGTGAACTTTTGCCCAACTTACCTGATCCAATGCTTCATTCATCTGTAGAGCCTCTGGAGGCCTGAAAAACACATGTGGTATCCTTAGTCGCATACAGACATGGGAATCACAAATATGTATGTCCAGTATGTAACACAAATGCATTTGAAACCATTGCAGTCATGGTCAACCCCCTGTTCCCTTTTGGCCTCTATTATCTGTGGCTGTGCTCAGAGACATCTCGGGCAAAGCTGGTGCACACATCCTGACACACTTAAAAACAGGGTTACAAAGAGGTAAGTAAATAACAAGTCTGAAGATCTTATTAATTCCCCTTTCCATCCGGAGATCCCCAGCAAATGTGACTAAAGTCCCAGGTGACAGGAACAATCAGAGCAGAGCCTTTGCACCTTCTAATGACATTATCCACTGGCTCTGCCCAGCCCACATCACCTCAGCTATGATTAAGCCAAACAGGCAAGAGAGGAGGAGAAAGACAGTGAGAGACACAAAGAGAGTGCTGGCAGGCAAGAAGGAGGGGGTGGTCAGACAGACAAGGAGTGAGTCAGACAGGCAGATATCCTCCTACATGTAGGTTCATCCAATAAAAGTACAAATAATATGTACAGATGAAGTCCAATATAGACTGTCTTTGAACTCGTTTTATGTGTTTGTGTCTTCAGGGTTAAGCCCCCTAAGACCTGGGTGTATGATATCACTGATAAGGATGGGTGTGATGTGACTGGAGGGGTACTTCTGACATCAGGCAATGTGTGTCACAAGGCCTCTAAGGGCGCAAACACAAAGGCGAGGTGGTGGGCAGAGCCTGCACATCTGTGACTCAACGTTCTATGGACACAATCTGACGTCAGCCACTGGAAACTTGATGAAAACAAAGAGAATTTTTCCAAGTAGAGGCTGCCAGAGGTTTAAGTGTCCACCACCACTAGCTCCTTTCTAAACTACAGTCTCACTATCACTGGGATTTGTTCAAGAAACTCTACAAACCCAAGGCAGAGATGACTTGGTGATGCATAGTTCCCCTCTCCCTTGTTCACCCAGCTGTTCGTGAGCACAGACCAGCACACTGGGTTTTATTATGCTGATCTGACACTGCTGAAGGTGGGAGGGGAGACAGCTGTAGTTGCGTGGCCCTGGGCGCACCCATCATTAGTGCCAGCCTCACTCCACTGTTCTTCCATTCCTCCCTTGTACCAGATCTCTCTCCCTCCCTCTCTCCCTCCTACATTGTTTCCCAAAAACACCACACCCTTTTATAATATGTGCTGACCTAAATTCTGCTTGTCTTGCCACCTGTACATCATATAGGCAAGACACTGCTCCCTCGCAAATCTTCACCTGCCCACTATCTGCCACTAAGATAACAAAAACAACCAGTAATGTGTTGGTGAAAGGCTGAGTGCGGTGTGCTTGCCACTCAAGATTTTCTTGAATAGATAATTTCCAAATTGATTCAAGCAAGGCTCACATCTAATGGTCTGTGTGGGCTCTAATGTGAACCGGAGATAATCAACACCCTGCGTTTCTGAGCTCTGTTTGTCTGTCATTTATTTTCTATGACTGCTTCTTTCTCCCCATACTGTCTCACCACTCTCCTTCGTTTTTCTCCCAGAATCTTATCATCTGCTCTTTCACACATTGCCTCTTTCTACCCATTCTCGTCAAGCCCTATACTTCTCTATGCATTTCTTGTGATACTATACTTAGAAATTGATTTGCCACTGTGTGTCATTAACCTTTTCTCTCTCGCCTTGGTTAACCCCAGTGAGTATATTGTGCTGTTTGAAAGACAGCAGACTTACAGAACAAGCTAAAGTGGGCTGGGGATCATAACTACATCATTATTAGCCACTGAACTGATAGCGTAAAAGCACTTCCTCTCTTATCATTTACAAGTATTTCCTCATTCCTTGCTCTATGTTACAAAGTTTCTTTCAAACCTTTATTATTATTTTTTTTACATCTGTGCCCAAAAGAGATAGAGGTGTCAAAGAAAATTATGCTACATAATACCAGTCTCACCCCTGGTACATGCCGTGTGACGTAACACCTGTGCTAGACAAGACTGCACATGCCATATTGTCAGTGTGGATGTGGCTATGATATGACCCAGTATGGCACTTTGTCGTTGATAAGATGCTTCATGGCTCCAGGGAGAGAGAAAGCTAATCTTTGTGCATAGAATAAAGAGTCTGTCGACTTCCTGTAAAAGTGTGTCTAATCACAATGAGTGAGGTGTAATTAATGTTTCACTGGTGTGCTCTGTATGTGCAGTTGAGGACCGTGGGTGAGAGGATGTAGTGTGCGGTCTCTCTAACAAGCTCCCACTCACCCCAGTGGAGGCAGGCAGGGAAGGCTGGAGTGACTGCGAGGCTGTTAGAGCAAGTGGGTTGCGTTGGACGTGTCCAAGTCTGTGTGTGTGTGCGTGTGTGTGCTTGTCAGTGACTGTGTGTTAGTGTGTGAAAAGTGTGCATGTGTGTCCTTTTGTGTGTGCTGTACTGGGATGTGGAAATTGAATGGAGCCTTTCAGTTCTACTGCTCGTCTCCCGGGGGTGAGAGACTGGTTGCCATGGTTATCCTGGAATCCTGCCGCTAATGGGTGGGAGTTTGTGTAGCTCTGGCAACCTGGCCTGTCTAGGGTGGAATATGTGCGTGTTTGTGTGTGTGTATGTGTATACCGGGGGGTGTGGTTGGGTGGAGGCAACATTCTAGGACACAGGAGGTCACATATGTGAGAACATAACCTTCCATTCCTGTACACTCTTGCTTGTAC